TGGGAATCCCTGAAAATACCAAACTCATCCGCTATTAGTGAATTTAAATCAAATTGAAGTGATTTTACCTCGGATGGTGTTGTGGCAGAATCGGTTGGTGGTTGGAGATTGATATCGAGCAATGGAGATAGCTCTGTATCGGGCGATGGTTGGTGGAACATGTTGGTCGACGGTTTTGACTCCATGTCAATCGATACGGGTTCTGCAGGTTGGATCGCGGTTTGTAGAGGTTCTGTATCTACCGCAAAACTTTTGTAATAACCGCTTGCCCAGCTTCCAATCGAGTAATCTCCGTCTCGTGGTTCGTGTGGGACATATAACGGTTTGCAGTAGGGTTCGTCGCTCGTTGATTCGAAACGTCATTTGAGAGATCTGGGTGGAGGTATATCGATCGTTGGGGTAGGGTTTGCATCGATCGATGGGCGTCAGAGGTAGGTCAGTTGAGGAGGGTGTTCTGCATCTTCTCGAAGAAATCAGTACTCTATGGTTCGTTCCTCCTCACAATCTTCATCATACTCCTCCTGAGTAGTGATACTAGCTAGTTCGGGCATGTAGTGATCGTTTTTCCACTCATCTGCACTGAAATCGGCGTCTGGAAACTCGTCGTCGATCCGTCGAAATACTCTATCGATCGATGACCAGGTAGTGCTGTCGGTCGATGGGTCGTCACTGGTATCGGTCGATGGAGAAGTGGTGTCATCGGTTGATACTGCTTCTTCGGTTTCATACTCTTCCATAGAATCAAATTTGTGGGCACAGAAACATGTGGCTACGAGTGTTGAGCTTGCTGGCCTGGGAAACTTGATGACTGGAACAGGGTTGTAGTGGATGGAAGGGTTGATAAGGGTTAGGCAGAGCTTGTTGGTTTGTAGGTCACAAACAGCTCCAACGGTGGCTAAAAAGGCTCTTCCAAGTAGTAGAGAAGTCTTGAAGTTGAGCTTGTTGGAGAGGACATGGAAGTCTGTAGGAATTAGGGTTTCTCCAATCTGTACCTCAAGGTTGCGAATGATGCCTCCAAAGCTTTGTTGGGAACAATCCACAAAGATGAAAGTTTCTTCAGAAGGCTCTATCTTCAGACCTAGATGATCTGCCATAAGCTTGGGTAAGAAGCTAACTCCAGATCCTGTGTCACATACGGCACGTGTGAACTCAACACCTCTGATGGAACAAGGTACTGTGAACTTCCCTTGGATCACTCTTCTTCTCCAATGGTATCTTCTGCTTGAGGCTATCTCTGACTTGGTTAAACATCCTTCTTATGTCTTCTTCTGTCTCCTTGGTTTCTCTGAAGAACATCCACAATCTGTGTGAAAAATAGGCTTCTTCAAAAGGTTTCTCTTTAGGTATTCTGAGGACTATTTTTCTGAAGCTTGACAACTCCTTCTCATTAGCTTCTCTTTTATAGGGTTTAGGTATCTTCTCTTTCCTTTTTCTGAGAACTCTTCCCTGAGTTTCCTTTTTTATCTCCATGGACTCAAAAAATATCTGTGGGTCTCTCTTTTAGGGCTGCTGTAGGGTCTCTGGTGGTGTAATACCTCTCCCGGAAAGCGTCAAGGCGTGCACTGTCGATCTTAGAAAGCGGCACTCAGTGTTGGGGTACTGTGTATCGATCGACACTGGCTGGAGTGTGTCGGTCGATACCAGGGTCTTGATGACGGTCGATGATGGGGTCTGCATGTCGATCGATGACAGGTGTGGGCGGATGTGGGTGACGTGCTGCGAAGGCGGCGTGAGACATAATCTTGACGGGATGGCACTCGCGAGGGTTTTCGTCGGAGTCCATCGATCGACAGTCGTCAAAGTCGATCGATCGACGAACTAAAGGCGATATCGATCAATGTTGAGCTGGTGATATCGATCGATAGTAGTCGTAGGCGAACTCTCTTTCACTCTCATCATCAGATCTCTGAATCTCTTCTACTACCTCCTGCCAAAAGTCATCATTTAAGAGGGCATTGATGTTCTGCGTGTGGGCAAACTCCTGCTTCTTAAATGCTTTTCCTGTCTGAAATACTTGGGTCTCTAGCTTCTTCACATGGGTGATGAGGGCATCTATCTTCGTGGTGAAGGTGGTGTAGACAGAATCGATTTTTCCATTGAAGTTTACCTCGAGCTTCTGGTGACTCTCAAGTATCTTGTCTATCAATTCCTCCAGTTTAGTATCTTGGGTGGGTGGGTGTGGATTGGAGTAGTTAGCACTTCCATAGCTTCTGTTGTTGCTAGGGTTGCTGCTGCTGAAGTTGTTGGGATTCTGAGAACTCTGGTTGAAGTTGCTTCTCTGGCCTGTGAAGTTTTTGGATCCTCCTTGGTTACCAGATCTCTGAAAACCGGCTCCACTAATCCAGTTGATATCTTCTTCAACAATTTTTGAATCTTCCACTGAACAGATCTGCTTGTTTAGGAGCTTCTGAATGTTGTCTAGCTGTGCTTGAACTTCATTGACGTACTCCTTCCCAAGGGATGATGTAGTCTGCGGCATAGAGTTTCTTGTGCTATTGCTGGAAGCTAAGTTATCAATTAGCTTGATAGCATTCTGAGGATTCCTGGTGGTGAAGTTGTCATCACTAGCTGTATCAAGGGCTCTCTTGAAATCGGGGCTGATGCCTCTGTAGAAAGTGTAGAGCAGTTGCACTTTGTTGAATCCGTGGTGTGGGCAGTCTCGCTGGTAGGACTTGAATCTGTTCCAAGTATCCTTGAATGCCTCTTCAGGGGCTTGGGTAAATGTAGCAATTTTCTTCCTCCAGTCTTCAGCGCATGAATCATCAAAGAAATTATGCAGGAAGGCATGCTTGATGTCACTCCAGGTGGTAAGGGAACCTGTTGGTAGTTGCCTCAGCCACTGCAAAGCTTCTCCAGATAGAGAGTACTTGAAAAGCTTGCAAAAAAGATAGTCTTGAGGGACTTCTTTTGCTTTGACTAGGGTGACCATATCCTCGAACCTCTCCAGATGGTCCATAGGATGCTCATGGGGCAAACCACAAAAAGGATTTGTCTTACAATTGTATAGTACTGCGGCTTGAGCTCAAAATCTCCTCTCTGAATAGCAGGAGGGAGGATGGCTGATCGGTATGAATAGAACTGATCCGGACGGTTGTAATCAGCCAAAGTTCTGGTCTCTTCTACAGGTTGAATGATGCCTGTGGGTGCAGTCTCTTCTTCAAGTAATGATCTCCTTCTGATCATTCAGCTTCTGACCTGCTGCATTTCGCAGGTGACCATCTTGATCACGCAGGTCTCCATTCTCATCGGATATGAGAATCATAGGCGCTACCATGTCTCGCCGGTTAGTATCGATCGATGTAGAGTGAGGTGTATCGATCGATGTCAAGTGAAGGGTATCGGTCGACGAACGGTTGTTGATGTTGATCGATGAGGTGGTGTTGGTCTCGGTCAACGAACGGTTGTTGATGTCGATCGATGGGATGGTGAAGGAATCGGTCGACGAATGGTTGTTGATCGTCGGTGGAAAGCGCGTATCGGTCGATATAGAGGTGTTGGTATCGATCGATGTGGAGCGTAAGTCTTTGCGGATGCTACGCTCCAGATTGTTGGGATCTTCTGAGTACAAAAGTTGCTTGTCCTTGTTGCTTCTAGTACTGCTGGGCATGTACCTGAAAGAGACAAAAAAAAAAGAAAAAATTTGTGTCAAAAGATGGAAGAATAAAAAGTAACAAATAACCTAGACTGAATCAGATTAAATCTAACAGTGATCTTAGTTCCCCGGCAACGGCGCCTAATTTGATATCACTCAAATGTTTAACCCAAATTAGTGATTTACTCTCTCAAATAAGAGGTTCAGTCGTAGTACTTAGGGATCGAATCCACAAGAAACTAGAGTCACAAAATATATAATCCTAAGTGATTAAGCTAGGTTGAAAAGGTTTAAAAACAATAAATAAAAATAGGTAACAATGATAAGTTTCTAAGGAAAATAGGTTTTGGGTTTGAAAACAATGAAAGAAAGTCGTTAGATTCAAGGTTACTATTCAGAAAATCAGGATTATAAATCTATGGATGTCTTAATGAACTGCTTGCAAATATATGAGAACTTCAATCCTTAGATGAATCTATAGCTGTCGCTATTAGACTCATCCATTGATCTGATTGCCGACAGTATCGATCGATGTTGCTATCGCAGTGTCGATCGATATATGTTGCCGTCGATCGATGACTCTAGAGGAGTATCGATCGATATATATCATCAGATCGGATTGAAACTGTGTTCACNGTAAGCATTAGGGTTCATTTGGATAATGAATATAACAACTCAACAATCCATAGTTGGGGCTAATCCCTCATAACTATTTGAACCCCAAATCTAACAAATGAATCTACTCAGACATAGCCAAGAGATTCATAGCAAAAGAATAAGATGAAAAGAAAATACTTTTATTGCTTAAGTAGAAATAGAATACAAAACTTTCTTATTAGATCTAATGATTGTCTTTCTAGGGCTCATAGGCATAACTATAAATATGGAGTACAATTAGGTTAAAAACTCGTCAGGGGCAATCTTGTAATTTGATGAGAACTTGGGCTTCAAGTCGGCCAAGTAAATCTTGCTCATCACGCTTTGTATCAATCGATGGTACATTCCGTACATCGATCGATGGAGTATCTCGACTTCAACTTCTACGGAATCGTCATCGATCGATTACACAAGGTGTGTATCGATCAATATGTGTCTCTCAACGTCGAATCTTCATAGTCATCTTGTAAAACTCTCCTTTAAGCTCCATAAGGCACCTAAATCATCACTTTACCACAAAATTCTCCTGAATCTGAAAACATACCTAATAGACTCCAAAACATAGATAATTATAATAAAAACATATAGAAATCATGACCAAAAACGGGTCAAAATCATGGTATATCAGCAAGTTCCCTCCTATAGTGAACATCAAAGCAGGGAAAAGGTCAGTTCACGCTGTCTCTGCAAGAATCAGTTGTTAGATCACTTGGATGCATATATATGGTGCCATGATATAATAAACACAGATTTACCTAATGACCTGGACTTGAGCCATTATTGTAAGAGAGTCGTACTCATCTATAAGACCGTCATGTAACTTAGGTAACTCCATATTCTTTTTCAATCCCCAATCCTGCGGTTTCTTGCAAAATACGTATAACGTATCTGCAAGGAAATGTTATCAGTTAATCTAAGTCGTATAATTAGGATTCAAAAAGTAAAAGATGCAAAAGATAACCTAAATGCTTTGATTTCTTTGGATCTTTATTCACCACCGATATAGTAAACTGAGCAAAATGACTCCAACCTGTCACAAAAAGGTTAACTTAAATGAACAATAAAAGTTTTGTTGATCGAGAGAAAAAGAAGAAAACTATAGAGACGATAATAATTGTAGATCCTAAAATCCACACTAAATATTTTGTATTGATCAAGAGTTTAATCATGGGAAGATAAATGATGTGGCAACGATGCTCTTAAACATAACGATACAATCGGAATTCGATTGACAAAAATGTATTTTATTAAATATGGGATTCGATACAAAGTAATAAACAAGATCGAGAGCAACAATGAAAAGTAGAAGTTATAAGCGAACTATAAATCTATGGAGTGAGCTCGATGTGATTGGTGATATGCTCTAGAGTTTTTTCCATGTGTCTTGTGTTTTGCTTCGACTCTCTTTTTATAGCTTTTTTCCTCTTCTAACTGCTTTCGCGATCTTTGGGATGCCATTTCGACCTCGTTGGGTCTGATCGACGTCGAGCTCATGATGACATTGCACGGGCTTGGACCTCTTTAATTAAATGCTGAAATTGTGTCCAACATTTGTCCCCCAATCTTTTCTTTTATTGAAAGATAAAGATGGCCCATTCGGACTCAATCAATGAAGAGCGATTCAGTTTCCGTGACGGCAGGGACCCGACACATGTCGCCTTCGCGTCTATAGACCGTTGGGATGCGCCTCCTGTTCCTAACGGCTATTGTGCGCCGCACTCGAGGTGAAAACCTAATCACTGTCTTATTGTTTTTAATGATGGAGCCGTTTTGAAGTCGGCAAATATCCTTTAAATACTTGGAGTTCTTCTTTCTCTCCTAAATCTTTCTTTCTCTTCTCAACTCTTGCTTGTATGATTTTCGATTTCTCTCTAAACGAAGATGGATGCATCGTTTTCTTTCCCTTTTCCGACAACCACAGTTGATCATCCTGAGGCTTTGTACACGACATATGGTGTCGATCGGGGCATCAAGCTCGAACTAGCCACCACGCTTGAGACCCCTGAGGCTATTTGTGACGGGTTTTACGGAGCGTATCTCTCGTTCTTCGAATCTTGCGGTCCATTCTTCTCGATTCCTGGACTAATCCTTGAAATTGTGGCTGAATTGGGTATTTCTCTCACTCAGATGTCCCAAAATTCTTGAAGCACCTCTTGGCCCTCGTGGTTAGAGGTCGTCGAGAAGGTTTGCGATTTGGTTCAGAGGAGCTGCGCCACTTGTGCTTGCTGAAGCGGAATACTCAGAGTCCGGAGACCTTCCTTATGTCGCCACGTGTAGGACGCCATATGATCCAAGGGATTCCATACCGCGATCCAGATTGGTGAGAAGGATTCTTTGTCTTTAAAGTTGATCATTTGTCAGTGGGTGATTTTTACTTCGCGAGGATACCTCGTCTTTGGTCCGACGATATAGGTTAGTTCTGACTTATTTGGTTCTTTAATCATATACGCTATTTTTATCTTTGATATCTGACTTCTAAAATCGTTTTATGGGTTTGTGCATTTCGGAAGCTCTCCGATGTCGAATGAGCTCTTAGGTCTGTTAAAGATGTTGCAGCAAGATCGCCCGGACTGGTCGTTTTTCGATCGCGAACGAGTCCGCGTCGCGTTTTGCTGCCGGATGGAACCAATCAAGCGCCAGCTATTACCAGCAGCTCGATCAAGCTCAAGGATATTCTGGGACCTTCTAGCAATCCTCCTTCTTCTGCCAGATCGGATAGACGGTTGGCCAGGAGGTCATCATTCAGTAACCGGAGATCTGTCACGGGGAGTAGAGATCTCGAGGCTTCGCCTTTGATCCCAATTCTGGTTTTTGAAGTCGACGGTACTTCTAGAACAAGGGGGATCCCCGATCTCTTTGAGTCCTAGTTTGGAGGAGGATTCTGCTGTCAACAACCGCAAGCGCCGACAATTGTCATAAATTGCATCTTCGACATCGCGAGATGTTTCTTTGCTTTGAGGTCGCGATACATCGGCTCCGAGTATGTTTGTTCTTCCTTTGGCTTCTCTCAAAGAGAGGGACGTGTATGCTAAAATCGCGGACACCAACTCCATGGTTAATTATGTTCCTTTCCGTCATGTTTTTGGTAAATCAGTCTCATTTTGATTCTTGGTACTTTGCAGGTTATGGTCGCCATTGACAAGTTCGTCGCAATGTTTGAAGGCCACGGCGTGAGAGAGTTAGCGAGGTCGCGGGCCGAAGTGAAGAGTCTCAAGGAATCGCTTCGGAAGGTCAAGGAAGATCTCAAGAAGAAGACTGGGGAAGCTGAGTTTTTGAGGGATGAATGGAGGAAGGCTCATGACGAGAGGATGGTATTTGAGACCGAGGTCGCCAATCAAAAATCCATGGTTGCAGAATTCCTTGCGGAGAGGGAGCGAGACATCCGTCGTAAATCTCGTGTTATGCGTCGCGAGATCGCTGATCGTCACAAGGAGGTCCTTTCCCTCATGGAGAAGAAGTGGTCGGACAAGAAGAACGAAACCGACATAGAGATCTAATTGAAGGAGGCGATCACGAACATTGACCTGCTTAATGAGATTAAGGACGGTGGATTGGTTATCAATGATGAGTTGGCTCGTCTTAGGGAGATGGAAAAGGATTGCGAAGGTCTCTTCGAACTTGCTGCAGTTGCGGATTAGAGTACCTCGGATCTGGATCTTCCCAAGGTTTCCGGTGATTCGGTAATTGGAGAATCTTCTTCCAAGGACGGGCTGATTTTAGGTTTTATCTCTTTTTATTTCTTCTATTCTCAATCGAATATCTCGTTTTGTTGTTTTTTTGCTCTTCGAATGTTTTGTTGATAACCACTGGTTTATGGTATCTTTTTTTTCTTCTCCAAATTTTTGAGATTTTATTCCTTTTAGCTGATATTGTTCCGTATAATTCTCTTTTATAAATTTCGAATTCGTTCCTTCCATCCTCATATTTCTGAACGTTACTTTCTTTCTTTCGTCAATCATGACATCGAGGAAAACAAGTTCCCGTGGGTCTGAAAGAATTCGTAACCGGAACAATGGAGCGGGACGGATCCGTTCTGGTGATGTGAGTGAAACTCTCACCGAGGTCCTTCGTGAGGAGCCTCGACTTCCTTGTGTAGAGGCTCGATCCAAAGTCAAAGATAGTGAAGAACCGAAGACTGCAACTCTTTTGAGTTTTGGTAGTCCGAATAGCTCGGAGGGGCGGGATCGTCCTCCGAAGAAAGCAAAGAATTCGGGGAACGATGCTTGTTCTGGTTCCGCGAGTAAAGGTGCGGTCGCGAAGCCGTTGCAGTGGAAATTTTCCCATGCCTAGGATTGTCCGATCACAGACGATCCCGACAGTGTCGCTCACTTGGTTAGGCACTTCAAGCTGCCGGGGTGTCCTCTTCCTTCGTTGTAAAACATGACCGAGCGCAACGCCTACGTAAAGATGGAGGTCACTCATGCTAAGGTCGGTTGGTTTGGCCTTTTGACCTTTGATTCTCACTTTCTCATTATGGGTATTCTTGATGTGTTCTTTAGGCCTTGGAAGCTAATAACGAGTTCGCGGCGACTTTGGAAAGGCGTTTGCGTGTATTTCTCGAGCTGACAAATTTTACGAGGTCAGGAAGGTTGTTCGGGAGCTGAACCTTAGTTTGAAGACGGCCCAGGATATGGAGAGTGTCAGTGTCGCTCAATTGACAGCGGCCCAAAAATTGGGGAATCAGGCTGATTTGCTCGAACCTCGTCTTTGTGTCGTCGAAAATTGAAGGAAGTCGGCTCTAGAGCAGGTTTCCGCACTGGATATGCAAATCAAATATTTGACTACAAGTCACACGGATGAACTTCGTCGTGTGACTTATGATGCTAGGAAGACCTTAGCCGACAGTTATTTGGATGTGCTGATGTCATTGAAGGAGGAGTAGGAGAAGAAGAAGGTTGCAGCGGATTGCGAAATTCGTTTGAAGGAGGACATGGCCAACATCAAACTCATTAAGAAGATAATGAATAATAATCTCCTCGCTTCTAACGAGTTATCGCGTCTTCGAGCTAAGGAAGTCGAATTAGGAGCCGAGGTCGATGTGGCAGCGGTGTCGGATTTTTTGGTTAGGAAGTTGGACCTTTCTCTGATTTCTGAGAATTTACCCGAGGATTTCTTCTCTAAGGTTCCCCTGGTGGAGACGAAACTGGTGGTGAGCAGGGGTGTAATAGGGATCGCTACGAAGATGGCGAGTTCGATGCTATGATTAGTTCTATCTTTTTATATTCTTTTTTTTTTGTGTTTTTTTTCTAGCGATTAATAATGGACGAATAATAGTGGTTTGTTTGATTCTTTTTATTTGTGAGCGTGCGACCTATTTTTTTATTTTTGTGGTCGTAGATCGACTTCGATAATATCGCGTCGATAAGTTGTATTTAAGTAATGATTTTACTATTACAAAGCGCCGTGTTTTTAGCGGGAACTAACTATTTCCATAGACTTGATCAGAGTCTCTTCATGCAGTTAAATCGAATTTGTAGAAGTGAAGGTTTATCTTTAATTATTATCCGAATGGTTCTTTATATACAACTTTGCATTTCTACATAACAGAAAAATATGTATCTGTGCGGATTAGTTGTTTCCTGATTTGGAGTTTGATCTCTTTGCGAGGAATTGGTTTGTGGTGAGTGACTAAACTCAGGTCGTGAGCTACCTTGATATCACTCAAATTACCCTAACGAGTGAATTACTCTCTCAAATAAGAGGTTCAGCTGTAGTACTTAGGGATCGAATCCACAAGAAGGTAGGAAACCTAATAGATCTAGTTAAATGTAAATCTAGGTGAATGTATAAATAGCAGAAACAATAAATAGTAAAAAGAAAATATTTCAATTAAGCAAAACAATTACTTAATATAGAATGGAAAAAAAAACTCTTAAGACAAAAATAGAAAAGATGCTAGACTTAGGGTTTTTATTAAGGTTTTTAGGATTATAATTCTATAGGATGCTATTCAGTTGCTTGCGAGATGCTATGAGCATTAACTATCTTGTTTAACAAATTATCTAAAATAATGTTCAAATAAATAATTTT